AACGTTTACCAGTACTACATTGGTTAATATCACCATTGTTTGCATTAAAAGCAAGCCCCTGTTCGGACTACTTTTTCGTATTTATGTCATATGCTTCAATAAAATTGCTATATGAAAACCATATACTAGGCAGTAACCTAAGCGCTTTTGTATATTCTCCTTTTATGATATATAGACTATTCCCACTGTCCCGATAACCGCAACAAAAATTGTGGTTTTTAAATGTAACTGCAAAAATAAGTTACCTCCGTGACCGGATACTGTCTGCCTGACAAATCACTACTTCTGGTTGGCTAACTGCGAAATCCGTTTACAATAATTTCAATGCACTATTTGCGGCTGATATTTGATAAAAAGCACCCACATGAAAATGGGAATATTGGCACATTGTGGTTATCAAAACAATTTGTCAAAAATGAACTTTTTGGAAAAGGAAATGGGACAAAACAAAAAAATAAAACCAACGTATTCAGATTGCAGACGGTACGAAGGAACTTATTTAAAGATCCATATGTTAATGTAAAAACAATCATCGCTATTACGTACTTTACGGTAATATCTAGTGATATATATTAGAATTATCCTTAGCATCACAGAGATGCGTAAAAAGGCGTTATAATCACTGGTTCTTGATACATATAAACGGATTACCACTGCGGATTTCCCAAATAACAGGTGTTTAGTTATGTTTACAACTTATTATCAGTGATTCGTTAGATACTCTCATAAAGAGTGTTGAAGGCGTGTGTCTAGAACATGGGAATCCCACTCGATTTATCGTTAAGAACATGGCTGAAAGGCCACCAAAGCTCTCAGTGTTAACAGAAGTGAAGAAGTGAATATTCATCAGGGTCCAATTTCAAGGGGACGAACCAAACGAACGTCTAAGCAGGCGCCTGATTCAATCTGTAGCAACAAATTGTCCAGCAACCAATGCCCATGTACTGTTCTCGACTACTCCGATCATATACGCGAAAATCAAGTTGAAAATGCCAGCCCAAAGCACATATATGTGCATATATTCATGTACCTGCTCCTGTTCCATTCTAGCCCACCTGGTAGACCCAGACCACTGCGTGGATTCTAAAGAGGCCTTACGAGAGATCTCCAAGGTGCTCTCAGGTTTTTTCAAAAATACTTGGACAGAGTCTGTTGGCTACAGCAGAAGCGGACGCCATCAGGCTACGTCTGCGGTTCCTGTGCACCCAAAATAACTTTGACGCGGCGCCGCAGCATGGCCAAAAGCCGCTAATTTAACAGCCAGCAGCTTATAACCTCGCTCAACGAGAAGTCCCCCTAACACCGATCAGGTATTGATCTCGATAAACCATCCCCTGATAAGCGCAGTATATTTATTTCTAACAACCCACATAGTTTATTTACTTAATTGCCACACAAATGTAAAGGCCTGACGATAATTTTTCGAAAGCAAAAGTGTGTTCGCTAATGTATCTTCTGAAATTATTGTATTTGCCTGATGTAATAATGTTGGTTTGTTTGGGGGCAACTTTTAGATCACTCAGAATGTAGTTCTGGCATATACGTTATTATATCAGTCTATTGTGTGGTAGAATGGAGCTGTTAGTGTTCTTTAATTAGGTCTTTTCTAAATACACTGGCAAATGATCTCGTTTGGAATAAAACTGGCTCGTGTAATCAATGTATTCTGCTCCACAGGGACAGTCAATACAATAGATGCAGATAACATTGGTGTGGGCTGACTTTATACTATCTATGTCCATATAAGATGAGAATAATCGAAGATAAAATTTAGACGTCGGCTGCGGGAAAGAGCTTTGATGCAGCTTGAACCAGGTGCCTGCTTGGGTTGCTTTGCTTCTTCCGTTCAAATGCAGCCAAAATGACAGGTAATTGTTTGTGGCGAGGGCGCTGGTAGTTTTCAAGCCACCTTCATTGAAATAAATCGCCATGGAAATCGTTTTTCTTTGAGTTGATGTTTGATGCTATCATAATATTGACTGACTAATAAAGCATCACAAAATAACGTGTAAGGTTAGAGGGTAAAATACTCCCAAAATGAGTATATTGCCCAGGCTACGCCTTCCCACGAGAGACTCCACGCTGAATACTCTTGCAACTCCTTTGACCGATTAGTATGTCGAGAAATGTAAGCGAGCCAGACAGTTCTTCTACTGTTGCATAGTTTGTTGACGGGTGGATTGGAAAAGTATTTACTTTGGATGCAAATGCCAATGTGGCGCACTTAATAAGTCAGAATATCTATCTTTTAAAGCATTTGCTGCGCGTCCATTTCGCTCATTAATGAGGCCATGGCTATTCCGCCGAACTGTTTGTAAAGGTTTTTTTTTCAAATAGGGACTGAAACAATGATTTCAATTACTGCCATTCCTACGTCATGCTGATTCGAGATAGTGAACACACAGATGAACTTGACCGTTTATATGATCGGCACGTTCCTGAAAAGGAAGGGGACGTCTAATGAGAGCATCCACCTCCCGTGCATGTAGAGTTCCCTGACGCCGCCCAAGAATTCAAGGTGCATCTTAATAGTAATTACTGGACTTCATTGATGAGGATTCCTATGTCCTGCTCATTCGAAGAAATGAACTCACAGATGAAGTTGACGGTTCCTATGACATATTGACCAGTTCCCTTATTTGGTTAAATTAATATTCGTGATGGCTCTCTCTTTCTGTTTAGCATTTAGCGTTTTGTTACAAAGGACTGGTGGTAGGTTAAATGTTTGTTTTTTTTCCGGGTAGCCTTTCAAATTTTATGAAAATCGGGGTGCACGTTTTTTTGTAAGTCCTTCCGATGATGTCAACCGCTAAAGATCGCAAGTTAATTTCAATTTAACTTTACTTTTTTAAGGCGCCAGAGACCTAATTGTGATTATTTGCAGGACGGCATTTGTAAGTGATCAACGGGCAAATCGCAATATGAAATCAACGGTTTCGGCCTCATATAATTAATTATCGCGTTTGCCCCAAAAACATTTGACGTTGTCTTTTTCTGCGCCTTTTAACGATTAAGAACAACCAAACGTAGTTTTTGTTTTAAGCGAATTATTTTAATCTGCAAAACTGAAAAGTCATTATCATATACTATAGCTAAAATGTTTTAAAACTTGACTAATTTGCAATAAACGACGCTGGGGACCATTGATAAATAAATTATAATGGATGTATTAGGGCGTGGTAAGGTGTCTGTCTTGGTCATTATGGTATATATAAATGCTAAAAAATCGAGATTGAAATGATAAGTATCTCGGGACTATTTGTTCTATTTCCTCTCTCCCTGTTATCGGCCATCTGGTGTTCGGATCAAATGCAACAGCTTGTGCAGTGGGAAGAATTCGCATAGGTATGATAGAGCACACATTCTACATCTGTCGTAGTTGATGCGAGTTTGCGCGAACTCAGGCCTGCTCGTGTAACGCCTGCCGTGCATCAACTGGGTCTCCTCTAAAACTAGCAAATCCCCCATAATGACAAATGCTGGTGATACGGAAAACACTAATATAATAGGCGAAAACCTGCTGAAGTATTAAGGCAACCAGGAATACTATCGTCTGTAAAAATAAACCTTGCTTGATCGCATTGACTGTTACCTATTTTGAAGTATGTTATCGTGCATCCAACACTGATGATTGCTTAAGGAAATCGTTAAAATAATCAATATGTTCTGCAAAACTGTTTGACAGTGAGCTGGTGAGTTTTTCAAACAAACTGGATTTTGATGCATGTGCAAAATACCTCCGTCTTAGTATCAGGTCGAACTCCTCCATCAAGATTTGCAGAGCCCTGACTAGGCAAATTGTTCTGATTTTACGAAAACAAATACACATATTTTTACACCCCATTATAGGTACACCTAATATTGCGAACAGTTGGTAGATAGGCCTGTGAAATTAGCGGGATACGATTAATTTTTTCAAAATAGGTAGGTTTAAGTTAAATTCACGATGTTAAACATCGTGCAAACCAGTTTAATTTTAAGCACTGCAGAACTCATAAAATCGGTAATTTGTATATATCGCACTGTATATCATTTTGACGAATTTAGGTTATTCAGAAATTCCTCTTCCTAGTGTAAAATTGATTGACAGGCTTGCTAAAATGTTTGCTTTTTCGGATTCAACCGCCAGTACATCATCGATCTAGTGCGCGATTATGTCGCACTATTTATATGGTGATGGGGTTTCTATGATTCCAGACATCCCGTGAATATACTCGATAGAAACAAAACAATGAAGGTGCTCATGATCATTCCGTCAAACTGCCTGTAGAGATTGTTGTCAACTGAAAAATGCACCTTTAAGTTACATGGTAATAGTAATTACCAAATAGGTTCTGTTGAATCGATAACGTGAAAGCGCTGATGTAGTGGACGGTTTCTTGGACCGGCACGTTCATGAAGGGAGACGGGACGACTAGGGAACACATTGTGTGTCGTTCAGGAGGAGTTCTATTACAAAGCCTGCGAATTCAAAGGCATATCACATCCACTAGCTGATCTTCAATGGAGTTGATTTTTTTTCCGCTGCCCATTTAGCTATCACATGGTACAGCAACTTTTTTATATCTTTGATGCGACGGAAATAGCTGACATATTTGCGTATCGTCAATAACACGAATAGTAAAGATATATGCGTGCCTACGGGATAAAAACACTCTTAATTACTCTCGTTTATGAATTCGCTCTTTTGAAGTCTTTTGAGACAGTCATTCAGTTGCTTGTCAACCCTTTCCACATGATGCTTCTCCTTTTCTGGATTTTTATACTTTACTTCGGCCGCAATAATGTCAAAGATTTCCTCAATCTAATCCGTTCAGTCTATTTACACAGTTTTACACAGTTTTTTATGCAGTCTCGTTATGAGGAGATATTTAACTTATCAACGAAGTTTTAATTTCTCCGTGTGCGTCTTAGTTAACAAATCTTGGCGTCTGTAGCCACTGTTAAGGTATTAATAAGCTCATGTTACTTAGGTTGACGTAAAGTGGTGAACGCTCTCTGTTGAACCAGCCTAAATGTTCAGCATTTGATGACATGCAGCTGACTGGGTTTTTTTTGACAGAAACAGCAAAACTAAGGGCCCAGAATTAATGTTTAAATCGAGGTCTGTTGGAGATCAACGGATGATTCATTGTGGGCATACCGAATTAGATCTTCAGGGTTCTGCGATTGTGGAATGCTGTGAGGAACCCCTTAGATAATTATTAGGTTAGTTTGAAGACTGTATAAACAGCAAAATTTAATGGATCCATAAATTTCGAGAGGGCTCTTCAGTTGGCCACCCCTTATTTCATAATGGGAATGAACGTTAGAGAAGATACACAACTGAATTCATACAGAAAAAATCGATAAAAACCGCGATCGCAGACAACATCAAAGAAGATGAACAATTATTGCTTATAATGAATAGCCTGCATCCCAAGATCAAATTTACCATTGAACAGGAACGGGAGAACCAGC